AGGGACCTCTCACCCTCCACTCCCCTCTGGGATGTAAATATCTCTAATCTCCCAGCTGCTTTTGGGTCTGCACAAACTCCTTCTGGATGGCAAGGAAGTTAAGTAGATTTTAAGATAAAACAGACTGTTTTCAGCAGGGAAAAAATTAATAAATTACAAGGTAACCTCAAAGAAAAATAATATACCTGCAAATCAAAACAAAGAGGAAAATCAGAAAGATTTAGTAAACATCAATACCACAGAAATAAAAATGAAAAGAAAAAGCACAAACAAAATGAGCTCAGTATAGAAAATTATGTGGAATAAAGAATCCAGCAGCTTCACTATAAAAACATACAGAAAAAAAAATATATATATATATGTATATACCATGCTCATGGATAGGAAGAGTTAACATTGTGAAAATGCCAACACTACCCAAAGCAATCTAAAGGTATAACACAATCCCAACCCAGATTCCAACATCATTCTTTAAAGAGATGGGAAAATTTATCACTAACTTTATAAGGAAAGGAAAGAGACCTCAGATGAGTAAAGCATTATTAAAGAAGAAGGACAAAATTGAAGGCCTCTCATTCCCTGATCTCAAAATTTACCACATAGCCACATGGCTAAAACAGCTGAGTCCTGGTAAAATGAAAGATACAGTGGAACAGATTTTAGAGCCCAGAAATAAATCTATCCACATACTGTCAGCTAATCTTTGACAAAGAGCCAAAACATGTTAAATGGGGGAAAAGATAGTCTCTTCAACAAATGGTGCTGGCAAAACTGAAAATTTGTTTGCAGAAGTATAAAACAAAATCCATATCTCACACCATAAACAAAAACAAACTCAACATGGATTAAAGACCTAAATGTAAACTTAGAACAATAAAGAACATAAATTAAAAATATATAGTCAACTTTGCTGTTATTGTTGTTGTGTGCTGTTGAGTCGGTTCTGACTCATAGTGACCCTGCATAGGGTTTCTGAGGAGTAGCTCATGAATTTGAACCACCGACCCTGCAGTTCAAACCAACCTTGAGGTCAAGGTCAAACTTAGGGATTCTAAAATATAGCATACCTATACTATCAAACATTACTAAAAACACACAAACAGTAGAAGACAAAATAGACCTTTTGTTGTTATTGTTAGATGCCTTCAAGTTGGTACCGACTCATAGTGACTTTATGAACAACAGAACGAAACACTGCCTAGTCCTGTGTCAATCTCATAAGTGTTACTGCACTTGAGCCAATTGCTGATGCTACTGAACCAATCCATCTCATTGGGGGTTATCCTCTTTTTCACTGACCTTCCACTTTACCAAGTGTGATGTTCTTCTCTATGGACTGGTTCTTCCTGATAATATGTCCACAGAATGAGTGATGAAATCTAACTATCCTGACTTCTAAGGAGCATTTTGGTTGTACATCTTCCAGTACAGATTTACTTGTTCTTTTGGCAGTCCATGTTATTTTTTATATTCTCCACCAACACCGTAACTCAAATACTTTAATCCTTCTTTTTTTTTTTTATTTTTTATTCATTGTCCAACTTGAACATACATAAGGCTATTGAAAATACCATGGTTTGGGTCAGGTGCACCTTAGTCTTCAAACTAACATCTTGGTTCTTGAACACTTTTCAGAGGTCTTGTGCAGCAGATTTGCCTAATGCAATATGTTGTTGGACTGCTGCTTCTATGAGTGTTGATGGTTGTTCCAAGCAAAATGAATTCTTTGACAACTTCAATCTTTTTTCCATTTGTCTTAATGTTATTTATTGGTCTAGTGGTAAGGATTTTTGTTTTCTTTACATTGAGGTGCAACCCATACCCAAGGCTGTGGTCTTTGATTTATTCAGTAAGTATTTTAAATCCTCTTCACTTTCAAAAAGCAAGGTTGTATCATCTGCTTATTCCAGGTTGTTAATGAGTCTACCTCCAATACTGATGCCACATTCTTCTTCATATAATATACCTTCTCAAATTATTTGCTCAGCATACAGATTGAATAAGTATAGTGAAAGAATATAACCCTGGCACACACCTTTCCTAATTTTAAACTATTCAGTGTTCTCTTGTTCTGTTTGAACAACTGATTCTTGGTCTATGTACAGGTTCCTCATGAGTACAATTAAGTGTTCTAGAATACTCATTCTAGGCAATGTTGTCCATAGTTTGTCATGATCTGCACAATGGAAAGCCATTGTGTAAAGAATATCTTTTGATATTCTCTGCTTCCAGCCAAGATCCATCTGATGTCTGCAATGTTATCTTTTGTTCCATGTCCTCGTTTGAATCTGGCAGTTGCCTGTCAGTGTACTGTTTTAGCCATTTAAAAAATTATCTTCAGAAAATTTTTACTTTTATGCAATATTAATGATATTGTCCAATGATTTCTGCATTGGGTCACCTTTCTTTGGAATGGGCACAAATATAGATCTCTTCCAAGCAGTTGGTCAAGTGGCTATTTTCAAATTTCTTGACATCCAGTGCCACATCAGTTTGTTGAAAGATTTCAATTTATATTCCATCAATTCTCCGAGCCAATGCCTTTAGTGAACCTTGAGCTTCTTCCATCTGTATCGTTGGCTATTGATCATTTGTTACCTCTTGAAATTGTTGAACATCAACCATTTATTTCTGGTATTGGACTCTGTATATCCCTTCCATCTTCTTTTGGTTCTTTCTGCATCATTCTATATGTTGTCCATAGAATTTTTCAATATTGCTAGTCAAGGCTTGAATTTTTTCTTCTGTTCCCTCAGCTTGAGAAATGCTGAGTATGTTCTTTCCTTTTGGTTTTCTAACTCCAGGTCTTTGTACATTTCATTTGAAATTTTTTGTTCAGCTATTTTACCTCATCATTTCTTCCATTTGCTTTAGCATCTCTATGCTGGAGAGCAAGTTTCAGAGTCTCTTCTGACATCCATTTTGGTCTTTTCCTTCTTTCTTGTCTTCTTAATAACCTTTTGCCTTCTTCCTGTGTGATGTTCTTATGGGATGCCACAACTCTTCTGGTCTTCGTTCTTTAGTGTGTAATGCATCAAATCGGTTCTTGAGATGATCTCTAAATTCTTGTGGAATATGTTTGTTCAACGTCATACTTTGTCGCTCATGGACTTGTTTTAATGTTTTTCAGCTTCAGCCTGAACTTGTTTATGAGTAATTGATGGTCTGTCCCATAGTCTGCCCTTACTAGCCTTTTGGCTGATAACATGGAGCTCTTCCACCATTTCTTTCAACAGATGTAGTCAATTTAATTTCTGGGTATTCCATCTTTTATGTTGTTTAAAAAAGGTATTTGCAATGAAGAAGTCATTGGTCTTGCAACATTCTATCATGCTATCTCCAGCATCATTTCTATTACCAAGGCCATGTTTTTCGATGACTGATCCTTCCTCTTAGTTTCCAACCTTTGCATTCCACTTGTTAGTAATTTTCAATACATCTTGATTGTATGTTTGATCTATTTCAGAAAGAAGTCATTGGAAGAATTCTTCAATTTCTTCATTACTGGCTTTAGTGGTTGGTGCATAAATTTGAGTAATAGTTGTATTAACTGATCTTCCTTGTAGGCATATGGATATTATCCTATCACAGAAAGTGTTGTACTTCAAAATAAACTTGAAATGTTCTTTCTGATAATGAATGTGATGCCGTTCCTCTTCAATTGTCATTCCTGGCATAGTAAACCACATGGTTGTCAGATTTGAAATGGCCAATGCCAGTTCATTTCAGTTCCCTAATGCTTAGGATATTGATGTTTATATGTTCCATTTCATTTTGACAACTTCCAAATTTCCTAGATTCACACTCCATACATTCCGTGTTCTGATTGTTAATGGATGTTTACAGCTCTTTCTCTTCATTTTGAGTTTTGCCTCATCAAGCAAATGAAGGTCCTGAAAGTTTTATTCCATTCGCATCATCATGGTCAATTATTTTGAGGAGGCAGCTCTTCCCCTGTCATATTTTGAGTGCCTTCCAACCTGAGGGACTCATCTGTGGCACTGTATCTGACATATTCTGGTGTTATTCATCATGTTTTAATATTCAATATTCTGATGCTACCTAACAATGTTCCACTGCTATTCATAAGGTTTTCAGTGACTACATATTTGGAAGTAGTCCAGCTCTCCTTCTGTCTTAGTTTGTCTTAGTCTGGACACTCTGCTAAAACTTGTCTACCATGGTGACACTGTTGGTATTTAAAACACTGGTGGCATAGCTTCCAGAATCACAGCAACAAACAAGCTACCACAGTATGACAAAACTGACAGACAAGTGGTGGAAAAAAATAGATAAGTGGACCTCCTAAAAATCAGACACTTGTATGCATCAAAGGATTTTACCAAAGGAGTTAAAAGGGAGCCCACAGATTGGGAAAATTTTTTGCAATGGTATGTCAGAAACCAGACTAGTCTCTACAATTTATAGAAAGTACAAAACCTCTACAAGAAAAAGACAAACAACCCAATTAAAAATGAATTCAAGATATGAACAGACACTTCACCAAAGAAGACATTCACACAGCCAACAAACATATGATGATAAACTACCTCCCAATATATATTTCTAATGTTGCTTCAATTATTTTACAATGATTATGTGTTGATTTTCTGATAACAATGACAAAGAAAGAAGTGTTTCATTATAGAAGCACTCTCTGAGTCTTAGAAAATACATTCCTACTTTCTCCTTAAAACCATTTCATTTTAAACAGTAAGTGATGGAAAAAATTTCCCCTTTGGCTATTTGTCTAAAAGCAGAGAGAAACATATTCATGAATAATCATGTTCAAAGTTTATACTCTCACCATCTCAATAAGAGGGAAGTAAATGAAACTTACTGGCTACTGTCCTCGTTGTCTCAAAATCCAATGCAGCATTTTGAAATGAACGAAAGAAAAGGAACATGAGAAAACTCTTTTTCCACATCAGGGTTGGTTTGTAGTTTCAAACCTCAAAATGATAAGTGGTTCCTATTTGTAATTGAGGAAAAAGTACCTCAAGAGGAGAGTTTTATCAAGTGGCTCCACATTCTCCCTAGTGAAGTCAGAGAAGAAGTTGAAAGAGACTTAACTGCCTGAATAATGGTGAGTCACTTGGAGAACTTCCTCCTTTTCTTGAGTGAGATAAGGAAACTGAAGGGTCTGTCTGTACAGATTTGCACAATATGACAGTTGGTTCCTTTGAGTTCTTGTAAGGAGAGAGAGATGGTAGGTTGCCCCTGACTCAAGCTAATGAGAATTTGAACTGTGCAGGGATAAAAAGAAGAGAAAGAAAATCTGATTAATGTGTTGCCTTTGGAAAAACTCACCAGGACTCAGCCTACATTGAAATGAATGTAATGAAAATTTGGTTTAGCCTCAGCAAATATTGATTACTTAAAGACCCACAAAAGAGTGACATCAGCAATGTCTGATTTTGTTAAATGCTGTTTTTAGGGCCCCACCCTGGACCTAAAGGAATTCTTGTAGTGCAGTGGTTACGAGTCAGGCTGCTAACATCAAGGTCAGCAGTTCTAAACTACCATCTGTTCCAAGGGAGGAAGAAGAGGCTTTCTGATCCCACAAAGATTTACAGCCTCGGAAACCCTGTACAGGGTCACTATGAGTCGGAACCAACTCCAGGACACACAGCCACCACCACCACTCTGGACCTGCTGGTGATGAGGCCGGGGACTCTGATTTGTAATAAGGGCCCCAAGTGATTCTTCCACAAGTTCTCATTTGGGAACCAAAGTTCTAGAAAGAGGGATAAGACACTGCTTCCACAGTGATTTCTGAATCAGAGGAGCCACAGGGCGTTGCTAGTATTGTGCATATATCAGTACCAGGAGAATAAATATGTGATAGAGGAACGCTGGAAGGGGGCTGGGGAGCAGACAGGGTGAAGAGGACTGAGGTCTGAAGGAACGCAAAGCACACTTTGAAGACTAGTATGTGAGGTCATTTCCTGGTGGTTTGTTGTTGCTGTTGTCAAGTGGTAGGGAGTGTGATCTGACTCAATGACTCTGTAGGGTTTCCATGAAGCAGCTGGCTGGTTTGAACCACTGACTTTGTGGCTAGCAGTATAGAGAAAATCAAAGAGAACAAACAAGAGTGTGACCATGGGACTTTCTGGGCAGTACCGTTGGTTACAACTTGTGTGAGAGTCAACAGGCCTACCACTGACCTGGGAGCCAGCTGAGAGGGGGCCAGGGCATTTGGGTGACTGATCCTTGCTGCTGCACAGGATAGGGCCTCTGGATCCCTGGGGTGCCTGTGGGGAGGTCATGTGGGGAAACCATCTTCAACCCCGACCCCCTCCAGTGAAGCTCCCAAACCTGTGTTAGTGTTATTCCTCGCCCCTCATCCAGCAGAGGCCAGCCTGCTGCCACCACCCCTCCTTCTTCCCTGGCTGGTCCTCACTCTCTGGAAATCAATGGTCTTCCTAGTTAGCCCTCAGCTCATAAAAGACCTTATTTCCTTCTGACATTAAATGTTACTCTTTAGGCACCTATTCTAAAAAGGCTACACTCAGAGATGCAGTGATTTTCTTACTGTGTGTGATACTAGTGACAACTTCCCTATTAGAGAAGGGGGGTGGTGAAAGATAGCATCACAGATTTAATCTGTGTGGGATGCCTCTCAATGCCAGCATCTCTGCTAAAAAGAGCATTCTGGAGCGTTTCCACCAGCGTCTCATCCACTCTTGCTGACAGAGGGTAGACTGGGTCGAGAGAAGACTAGGCCTTTAAACAGAGACTGGTGTATGTGGATCACTTCTGTGTTCATAACCTCTGCTGGGGCAGGGAGCTTGCAGATTACACCATGGGAAGGCAGCAGATGAAACCAGGGGAAGTTCAGTTTACAGCTGTTACAAATGTTGCTAGGAGACTTTTGTGAGGCCCAGGAAAGGGAAGTTATTTGTCCAAGGTTACACAATACACATTTGTGGGTTAATACGTTAAACTGCAAAGTTGGTTTGAACCGCAAGGTCAGTGGCTCAAGCTCACCAGCCGCTCCTCAGAAACCTTATACAGGGTTGCTATGGGTCAGAACCGACTCAACGGCACTTCACAACAACAACACAACAACATTCCTTGGAACCCAAATCATGCAAATGCACAGTGTTGTGGTCCAGTAATTCACCATATTGATAAGAGTAATGGTAATCAAAATAATAAAGTAACATTAATTCAAAACAATAAAGTGATCCAAACAATAGAGGTTGTTCTGCCTCAGGTTCACGTTGAGCAAGCCCGGGGCCTGGAATCGGACCCCAGTCTCCTCAGTCACACTCCCAATTCCTAGGTGCCCTGGACTCCAAGTGGACAAGCTGCGGGCATTGTGAAATTAAGCAGGACCTGAGCATCTTACTGGGTAAAGAGCATGGTGGTAAAATACCACCTGCTGGGTCGCTATCGGTCGGAATTGACTCGATGGCACTTAACAACAACTCAGAAAGCTAAATCAGAAGAGAATACCAATGAAGAAAAAACAGATAACATGAAGCCAAAAGAAAATATGAAGACTGATGAACTATTAAGTGAGGAAAGTGATTTAAAAATGACAAGATGTGATTGAACCAGACACAGATGCCCCTGAAGAAATGAGAGCTAAAACTGTACAGATAACTGAAGAAATGGTGGGTCAGACAAATGGTAAGAAAGTGGCTGCCATTGATGCTCTCAATGATGGTGAAAGACAGAAAGCCATCTACTTGCTGACAGATACCATCAAACTGAATCCACGTTGGCCACTATCTTCATGAAATTATAGATGACAAATGTTGTAATCCTTGACTGTGACTGAGCCACTGAAATTAATTCTGATTCAGCATAGCCCTACAAGTGGTGAAGAAATGCACACAGACTGCTGGACCATTGGGAAGAAACAGCACATGACCTTATTCTTACTTGTAAACTGGCCTGTGATAAAGATGCTGGTACAATGCTGAATGTAGCTTAACTGAGGACCCAGAGAACTGCAGAACATTGGAGAAATTCTGAGCAAAAATGTGAAGAGTGAGAGATCAAAGGAAGAATAGAAAGGATTAAGAAGGCTCGGGTAGAACATAAAAGAGCCCAGAGGGAGAAAGCATCAAGGTGAGGCTCAGGAGCTCAGTATGACTCTTTAATAGGTAGCTTTTCTGGGGTTATACCTGGGTTCAGTGAGATCCTTAGTGATCCAGAGGTTCTTGTAGCCATGCAGTTCCAGAAGTTATGGTGGCCTTCCAGGATGTGGTTCAGAATTTGGCAAATATGCCCAAATATCAGAGTAACCCTAAGATCATGAATCTCATCGGTAAATTGTCAGGCAAAGTTTAAGGTCAAACATAATGCTCTTTTGACAAAGCCCTTGCTGAAGGACAAACACTGTACACTCAATGGTTGTCCCAGTACTACAAACCAGTGTACCTTTGACTTTCTCATCAAGAAAGCTGGGGTGCTTTGAAGATCACTCTTATCCTGTGGTCCCCAGTGCAGCTGAGACATTTACAGTCATTTGCCATTAAGGTATTCATTCAAATAATGTTTTCCTATTAGGAAGTACAAAATTCAAACACGTTTTAAACCTTAAAAATGCCTAAAACAAATTAAAAGTGTGCATTAACTCCTACATTTGTCTTTACTAAAAACAAAACAAAAAACAATAGAGGTAACATTGATTCTTTTCTCTTGTGTTAAGAGTTTTATGCTGATAATATAATTTAATCCTTCCAAAACCTTCATGAGTGCAGAGGTGATGCTGTAAGCATCTAGCAACCAGCAAAGTAATTTAGATAAATCAACTCGTGAATCAAAAATTTCAATATTTCCCCTCGTTCATTTCTAAATAAACTAAGCTATGTCATAAAATGACTTATCAAATGGTGTAAGGTTTCATATAGGTTGTTAACCAAGTAATTGTAATCATTTCCTAAATTTGATTAATGTTCAGAAGAATTGGTGTGGTCTCTTGAGACAATGCTCACTGTCTGGGATGATTTGGTCTGGGGAAATGTCTTGAACTCCTCCAATGAATTCCTTGAAATCCATGGTCATTGGATGATGTGTGGTCTCTATGGGGAGTTTCTCTTTATATCAGTGATTTGGTTCATAGTATTAAATTCCCAGTTACCAGGAGTGATAGCAATTTAAAATTCAAAACTATTCTAGCTTTATAGTGCTATTTGAAATTTTTATATAGCTAATGTTTCTGTTATCTAATATGTCTAAGTCATAAAAAATGTTTATTAGAATGTTTAATTTGTTGATTTATTTTTCCACAGTATTTGATCAATACCATTAGGTCAAATGTCAGGAGTCAATAAATTTAAATGACCTTAAAATTCTTTTTACCACTATTTCTTCAAACAAAAATGTATTTTCATATAATTTATTTAAAAATATAAGTTTTTCTCTTGGAATTGATGCTTCTTACACATTTATTTTTGTTACAAGTGGTGTGCTATATTTGTTCATTTTATGGTATTTTTTTCCCTCTATTTCACACCACCACTCGTACATCAGGTTGTTGTACAGCAGTGGCTTCTGTGTTGCTGGGATACTGGAAGCTATGTTATCAGTGTTTTAAATACCAGCAGGGTCACCCATGGTGGAAAAGTTTAGTGAAGCTTCTAGACTAAGACATACTAAGAAGGAGAAGCAGACCATTTATGAATGGTTAATCACTGGAAAATATTATAAATAGAAGCGAAACATTATCAGATATAGTATTGGAAGATGAACCCCTCAGGTTGGAAGACACTTGGAATACTACTGGAGAAGAGCTGCCTCATCAAAGTAGAGTTGACCTTAATGATGTGAATGGAGTTAAGCTTTCAGGAACTTTATTTGAATGAGAAGAAACAGTTGCAAACATCCATTAATAATCTGAATGCGAAATATATGATGTATGAATCTAGGAAAGTTGGAAGCTGTCAAAAATGAAATGGAATACATAGACATAGACAACATAGACATTAGTGCAGTGACTTTGCTTATCCTGAGTCTCTTTCCTTTCCATATAAAGTTTGTAATTGTTTTTTCCATCTCTTTGAAGAATGTTGTTGGAATCTGGATTGGCCTTGCATTATGTGTGTAAATTGCTTTGGGCAGTAGTAACATTTTCACAATGTTAAGTCTTCCTATCCAGGAGCATG